AACGAGGACCTATACCGACAGCATTCGGTACGAATTGTGAAGGAGGTGAAATTGGCGATTGTGCTGAATCAAAACTAGTCGACATAGTTGCAGCACGATCGTCATCAAAAGTTAAATTTCCCGGTATTGAAGTATCACCGGATAATGGTTGATTTAAATGAGAATATTGTTTAGACACGGAAATACCTTCAAAAGAAAGAAGCACTTATTTAATATCAAAATTGCTCAAATGGAAATCGATAGGAAGAGAGAAAAAAAAAATTTTCTTTTCCGATTGATTAAATTTTAATTTTTAAAATTATTCAAAGCAAACCTGTACGTGAATCGGGCATATTATTATAGATTACTGGCGGCATATTTTTGTTAAGTTGATGATAATAATCAGGACGCTGTTGTTGTTGAATAGGCAATGGTTGTCCAATGACCTAAATACCAGTCAAAAAAATATCCATCTAAAATAAAGTTGTCATTATAAATAAATTTACTTTTGTATTTGGATTCCAATTATCTGATTTTGTTGGTACTGATTGACCTTGATAAACACCACCATCAAGTGCGAATGCTGGTGATGTTACTGGGTTTATTTGATGTTGAGAAAAAGGTAGTGGTAATGGCATTGACGTGTTTGATGTATAGTTTAATGACATTGGTAAACGACCATTAGGTGAACTCATATTAATATGATTACTAGTGACTAATTTTCCATCAACTTGTCGATCAATATCTAATGGTATGAATGGGTGTGGTTTTTCTTCTCCTAAGAAAAAAAAAGGAAAAAATAAATAAATGAAATTATTTAATTAAATTTTTTCTTTTCGTGTTTACCTGGTTGACGAAAATCGGGTGCAGCTGCTTTAGCACTTGTTCGAGCTTCAACACTATCATGTCGAGCTTGTTTTGCATAGATTTCAGCTGAATGAGCTTTTGAACGAGCATTATTTGCTCTAAGAAAGAAAAAGAAAACATTATTTTCATTATCAATAAAAAAGAAAGAAATTTGTTTTACCTCGCCATTGCTATTTCAGCTTTTTGTTGGGCATTTGTTGCACCTTTCATTGCATTATTAAGAGCTGCATCAATTTTATCACGAAGTTTTGATGAACGAAGTAAAAATAATTTACTTGGTTTACGTTTGTCAGTTACTAAAACATTATTTTTATATTTTCCCTCCTCCTTAGTACCATCACGAAATGTCGTCACACCATAACCATTCTTTTTATTATTAAACCATTCACCTTCATATTTTAAACCATCAGAACGTTCAGCTATGCCAAAACCACTACGTTTATCATTTTTCCATTCTCCCATATATGTTTCAACTACATTATTATCAAGTATATCTTCCTGAGATATGAATGAATGTTCACCATCATCAAATGTACCTGTTGAATTGGGTGTATTTGCATGTGATGATATCATTGTAGCTGTTTTAACTGAATGTTTTGAATCACCACTTGCTGAACTTCCTGTTGAGCGAAATGAACTTGTCTTTTTTGTTGTTGATCTATCTTCAATGTCACTTGTAGATTTTTGTTTACGTAACTTTGCTAAAAGTGTTTTACGTAACGATGGACGACGGTCGGCACTATTTGATAATGAACCACGATGTGCACCTTGACTAACACTACGTGCTGATAAATCATGTGGATCTGATCTTGAACGAAGAACAAATCCACCACGATTTTCATCCATACGTTTATCTCGTTCACCTATTTTAATGTAAATATAAAAACAAATGAGCAGAATAAAAAAAAAGAAAAATATTTACGTTGTGTTCGTTCATCATCATCTTCTGACCGAAGTGATGTTAAAGAATCTCGTACATCTTTTGATCGATAACGTGATGCTAAACCATAGGGTACACTTCGTCGTATACCATAACCATGACGAAGACCTTGTTGTATCTGCCCATGATAAACTCCTCCATCGGCATATATTTCAACGCCATAACCATCTTGAAGTCCATTAGCCCATGTACCCTCATATCTAGCACCTGAAATGTCCGATACACGAATACCATATCGTCCTTTAAAACCTTGTGTCCATTCGCCTTTATAAATCCATCTTCCTTTCTTTTCAACACCCAATCCATGTCGTTTTCCACTCATCCATTGTCCTTCATAAGAGTTTCCTGACGGCTAAAATATACATATAGATATATATATATATATATGTAATTATTACTAGATCACATGAATAGATAAATGTAGTATTTATTTACCCATAAATAGATGCCCGAAAATTCATAGCCGTATTGCCATGCGCCCGCATATTCACCTTGTCCTTTTGGTCCTGTACATACACCGTGTCCATGTGCTTTTCCATCATTCCATCCTCCACAATAGGTACCGCCGTCATCAAAATCAAAACGGCCTCCATTCACTCCGACGCTCATCCGGGAGTCCGTTCAATAATAATCAACCTTAGTAACAACAGCAGCAGCATCGACAACAACGACGATGTCGATGATAGCAAAAGGAGTATATTGAAAACGAACAAGTAGTAGGGGGTCGCACAAAAGTGTTTTTACTAATAGTAATTGTAGACGAAGAAAATGAGGATGAAGGAGGAGAAGAATAAGAAAGTTGACGGCGCAACAATGATGTTGTGACGAGTAATAATAGTGGTAATTTTCAATGTGTCGTCTTCACAAGTTGATTGATTCCCAGCAAAACACGGCGGTGCACAATGATGCTGCCATGCACGCTTAGGCTAGAATAAACTGAATAAGTGAATAAGTGGGCTGATAGAAAAAAACGGAAATCACATATAAGACAGACACGCACACTATATTTTTCTTTGCCTGAAAGACCAAAATCTCAAGCAAATCTTCCTGTTGCTTATTAATTATTTTCTATAGTCATGACACGCTTATTTTTTTTTCTTCTCATCTATAAACATCAATGTAGACAAAAGAAAAACATAGTATGAATTACATATTCTCAATCAGAATGGCAGGAATATTTTAGTATAAACATTAGAGGCAAAAAGAGGCAATGAACTTCACGGGTTTTCCGATCACACACATCATTACCCATCCATTGTCAATACAGGTTTTTTTTTCTTCTCTAGTAGTATATAATAACCGTATTAAAAGATCTATCTAAGCGATTCGTTTCTTTTACCGACTCAAAAGAAAAAAAGTTCATATACACATAACTATACTCGAAATTGCATCACACACGAGTGCGTATGTTAAAAAGAGCTTATTCTAAACCTAGATAGAGGATGATCAGAAAGAAAGCGAACACGAAAGAGAAAGAAAGACTTGGTAGTCTCAGGGTTTTATGTCGCGCGTGCCTATTTATTTATTTTTGCTCTGTGTTGTGCGCGCATTACACACGTTGGATGGGCTTTCTCGCTCTCTTTCTCTTTTACACACAAACAGGCAGATTTCAGGCAGCAGCAGGCAAAGAAAAAGAAAAAGACGAATATGAAGACCAAAAGAGAGATGGAGAGAGAGAGGGAGAGAGATGCAGGAAGAAGAATACGGAAGGAATTGTCGTCAGTCGCTGTCGTCGTCTTCCTTAACTTATCTCAACGTAGGCGTACGATACAAGACCGAGGAATAATACGCATGCGAAAGAAGGAAAAAAAGAACAAAAAAAGCAGAGAAGTATTGAAAATACTAATAAACACGTCAGATATATGAGGAGAATAAGAACGAACGACAATGAAAGAAAAAGAGATCTCTGAAACGCACATACATATACAACGATGATAGTAAGAGCAAAGAGCAGAACTACAACAATAATAATAATAATAACAACTACAGATGACGATGATGATGAAACTACTGTTGTTGATACAGCACGGTGATAGCAGTATGATGGTATCGCGCTTTCTGAAGGAGGGGATGGATCTCGTTTTCTTTCTCTTCATTCTCCCTTTAGCAGAATATGTATAGCATGATGACAAAACAGATAACTTGACATTCACTAAGCAAAAAACGCTCTCCTTGCGTCTTTTCCCTTGTTTCCTTCCAATCGATTTCTTTTCTTTTAACGCCCTTCGTTTTTTTGCTAATCCGTATACAGACGCATACCGCAACTCTTCATATATGTGGTTAACAAATAGACAGAAAAAGCATGTCATTTCTATATGATGTACTACTTTAACACTCATCAATGCCATTGACTAAAAAAAATGCATTTGTGAATCAATCGTTAGTTCGTTCTTGAGATAGTATCGTTAGAGATGTGTTGACGAAAAAATAAGAAAAGGAAAACTAGTCTGATCGTTTTTTTTTCATCATCCATGCCTTCAAGTCACCTGTTCGAACTATGTATTTGTATCATCTTCATATTGCCATAAAAAGATTAAAAAAAAACAGATTCATAGACGGAAAAGACAATTTCTGTCTTTCTACGCCTATGGTTTGTGCGAAAAGCAAAGCATTACTATCAATAATTTTTCTCTTTTTTTTTCTTCTAACACAAGTCAAGGTTGGACATTTGTAGTATAAGAAAAGAAAAACCAGGCACATAATAATTTGAGCAAGGACGACTTATGGATCATTGATAAATGCGCGCTGAGCAAATTCCATTAACATATATATCGACTATTTTTCAAGTCTTATATTGAAGGCAAATCTCTTACTAATAAGATATATGTTGTATAGATTTGCAAAATCAATTTTCTTTTTTTCGATAATTATATCCTTGAAAATAATTGGAATGTTCATTGTCTGATATTTGTTTTTAACATGACAGATAATTTGATAGACAGTTCAAGATAAATATGTAATGTGACAAGATATACATGACACATGAAATAACAATCTTTGAACAAACAAATCAAAAGAAGAAAAAGAAAAAGAAAAATGCTATGTACTTACATTCTGTTACCTAGTGTATGTTAATCTTAGATTGAGAAGTTCATGGATCATTATCACTTCCTTGTACTGTCTCATCTTTTTTTTTGTGTCATAGTATATATGTAATGTAAGTTCATGCATATATCAAAAAAAAAACGGCAAAAGTTTTCTCTTATATTTATCTATGTATTCAATTTGGTTATTAATTTTATTAATAGGTTCTCTGATACAAATCATCTATACGACAAATCTACGTTGTAATGAAGATATTAACGGAACTGTTCAATTAATTGAAAATTGTCGTGCATGTGTTATATTTATCGATACAAAAAATAATACAAAAATATCATCAAAAAAAATGCTTGTACATAATAAACCATCAATAAAAGAATTATTTTTTTATGATGATAAAAAACGTTATCGTCGTTATAGTAATACTATTATTCATCAAAAATGTGCTCATGAATCTGATGGTCCATTATATGGCTATGATCAAACATATTGTTATTGTAATTCAAATCAATGTAATTTAAATATCCAACGATGTATCTATGAAATAGTATCAAAACGTTATTTTTCATGTTATCATGGTTCTAATACAAGTTATTATTCACTTGAAATTATTAAACAATGTCGTAGTTGTCGTATACGAATTGAAACTGATTTAACTTATTATTATGAATGTTTAACATTTGGTGAACAAGAACAAACAAACAATACACATTGTACGTGTCAACATCCAATGTGTAATCAAGATTTTGCAATATGCCAACGTTTTCAACAGATACCAAGTCAACCACGAGTAAATTTAATTCATGCAAGCATACTTAATTCAACTAAGAGTACTTCTACCAATACAATAATGACAATAACAACAACAATAACTACTACAATAACATCAATGATCATTAATTTGACAAAAAATTTAATGATCTTATCGAGTAGCAATGAAACTGAAGCAGAAATTTTGATCGAAAATTCAACATTAATTGAATTAACTTCAGCATCATACAATGAAACATTAGAAATTAAAACAACTATCCTTGAGATAAAAAATCATGCAAATTATAATTCATCAAATTTTTTAATGTATTTCAATCAATTTTTGTTAGTGTGTTTTCTTTTTTTTGTTTTAACATGTGATCACTAATTTTGTCTCTTAGACAACAAATATATAAATATGTATATTTAACCATTCAAAAATGTTATCTAAAAGGACTTTTATGTTGATTAATGAACACTGAATGCATAATCCCTTCGTAAGCTAAAAATATAATATCAATCATCATAGATCTCTTTTCAATATGTCATTATTAATTCCCTATTGATTTTGTTTAGCAGATACGAATTCTAAGTTTTAGTGCTTAATTTTACTGATCGAAGTCTTCTTTCGGGCAACACAATACATCTAGAATATTTTATTTAATGAAACTTCTGCAGCAGAAAACAGATAAATCATGATTAAAAACGTGTTTTAAACTCCAGTAGAGATAGTATCGATTTCTTTTTAGTTTTATTCTACTGAAACAAATTGAAGGAAACTTTTGTAAGAAAAAACTGATCAATACATAGCGCCCTCGTCTAAAACCATCACTGTGTTCGAATGATGTCGCCAATAAAAATACACGTTCTGTCACATGCGTTTGTGTCCTTATAATGGTTCTCTGTTGACAATCTAAATCATAGAACATGCTTAATGGCTGCCAATTCTTTTAGAATTATTCTTTAACTAACTAACAAATATTATATCATAATTACAATGGCTAAATCATCCAAAGTAGAAGATTATTGGCGACTACATAATATTGAAAGTTTATTTAAAGAATTAACACAAGTTCTTACTCGACGTATGCCACCTGATCCAGCTGTAGCATTAGTTGAATATCTTCAAAAAAAATTTCCTAAATCATTTAAAACATCAACAGATAATATTGGTATTGTTTCAAAAACTATGGCTAATAATCTACAATTACAATCAATGACTTCACCCCATTCTGATGCTCACAATGAGAGTATAAAAGATATACAAACTGAACGTCGTTCATCTACGCTAAGTCAAGCTAGTGGAATTGTTACAATTCCAACAGTCGGCTCCGCTTTTACTGATTTACTTAAAGACGTAAGAATTAGTGTGTGACAAAGGTTTCACCAGTATTGAAATGAATGTTCTATATTATTTTGATGTATGAAAACGGAATGCAACAAATAAATATATATAGAAGAATTCTAGACATGTATGCAGTACATCGCTATTTTCTGTCTGTTTGCTTCTTCTTTGAGCAAAGCAAAAAATATGTGAATACATCTATTTTTGAACGACTTGTTGAGAGATGAGATGAGTCGTATGAAATGTGATCGAAATTTGAAACTGACAGATTTCTAGTGAATGAATTACAATTCGAAATTTTGTGCTCACTATTCTTGGTATTGCTCATTGACAGAACATATCCGAAAGATTTTCGTGTGAATGATCAAAAGTTATAAACACGAATTCACTTCATACGATTCATCTCATCTTTTTCACAAGTTCTTCAAAATTGATGTATTCATATATTTTTGGTTTGTTCAAAGAAGAAGCAAACAGACAAAGGACTACTATGTGCTGTATAAATGTCTTAAAACTTCTCTATATATATTTATTTTATTGAATTCTATTTCCATATGCCAAATTAATATACAAAATTCATTTTAATAGAAGCAAAACTTTTGATGTCCAATCAATAATTAGCTTTATATTTGTTTGAAAGAAAAATTTTAATTTTTGTTTTTTTTTAGACTAGCAGTTCAAAAGAAACGCCAGAATTAAATATAAGAAATCTTATCTTTGCTAATCGTTTAAGTCAACAAGTTGTTAAAATGGGAAAAAATATTCGTTCAGATCGTGATATACTCGAAGAAGAATTAATTAAACCAATAAAAACAAAATCAACAACATCATCAACAGCAAATGTATCAAATAATACAGTTTCAGAAGATCTTCAAAATGCAGAAACACATGAACAACCATCTGCATTACAATTAATTAAATACAAACAACAAATTCATATTGAAAATGATCGTCGTTTACATCGAGAAAAACTTGCAGAATTAGCAAAAACTCAACGTGAAAAAGAACAATTTTATTCAGGTGTTTCTTCAAAACCAGAAGAAATTCCATCACAACAAACATTATATAATGATGAAACATTAACACAAGTTGTACCAACGCAAACAAGTAGTACTCAATTACAATATAAACCAATTGTTAAATCAAGAGAAGAAGAAGAATTATTGAATGATGAGAATATATTTCAACCGAGAAAACAACGTCATCGTGAAAGACAAAGAAATAGATTAATGCCATCACTTACAAATACATCATATTTACGTGGACGACCGACTATAGATTCTCAATTATCAATAAAAAGAGATGATGGAAGTTTAATATGTAAATCATGTGGACATGTATTGGATGAACAAGAAAATCAATCGATAGTTCATTCTCAACAAGTTTCTGGTCAGTTTAGTCATTTAAAAAACATTGATATTGATTGTAACTTCTGTTTTAGCAATACCAATAACACATTCATTAGAACCTCGATCATCTGCTCGATTGACAGAAAAAACAGATGATGCTGCTGATGATTTTTTTGAATTAGCATCTGATGTATCAAGTTCACGACAATTAACTCCATTAATACCAAATGATACAATATCAACACGAATTGGTTCAAGTACATTTCGGCGAAATCTTTTTCAACCAATTACTGATAATCATAATAATAATAACAATGATACTGTAGAACATCAATCACCTGTACGACCTTTAATTTTAAGTGATGATGGAACAAAGGCTAAACGATTTAAAACACCACGTGTTTCTGAAACTGGTATTTTCTCACGATCACCTGAATCAAAAGTTCGTCCTCCACCATTATCACAAAATATATCGTCACCCGTAACAATAAAACATCAGACAGATACTGACGTTCTTACTAATCGTCAATCAGCAAAGACTGTCACACAACTATCATCTGCAAGATCAACGCCATCATCAACTTTAACAACAAGAATGACTTCAACTAATAATCGAAGAATGTCCGGTTGGAGTGTATGTGAACATTCACCTAATGATTCCGACGAAAATTAATCTTTAACATTTTTAAGTATTATTTTATCATTTTATCTAAAACTGTGGTAGAGATAAAAGATAATAAAAAAAACAAGAATTATTCCATATTTGCCAACTGATATAAATATATCATATTGAAAAACTACAAGATGTTGATAACTTTCATCTATGCATGTTAATGTTTCACCTCAGATCCTACTATACAGTTTTAAGATCTCATTCTAGACACATCTAATTGGGGATACAATATTGGACAGGTATCAATTCAGACCATTCTCAAATTGATCAGTTACAATATATCCAATCAAAGGTTCGCCTGAAAATTTTAGACGCAGTTCAGATTGACTTAGATCAATGGTGGCTTGAAAGGTCAATACGGACAATTTTGAATTAGAGACGCAGTATATTGCATTCTATGTTGAAATGTTTGTAGAATCTAAAGAATGCATTGGATAAAAATTGGAAAAGAAACATGCAGGTATGGAATGGCTATCATCTCCTACAAATTGTGGTTTCCTGAATCGATTCCTAAATCAGGTCCACACTTGTGGACTACCAAACAATTCAGGTTAATTGTGGTGACCAAGTAGAAACTTTAATTTAGGGACTTTTTCGTTTGGGAACCTTTTGCTATAAAACATTGCACATACGTAGGTCTCTCATAGTGAACACCATTATAAGTCGGTTCTTTTTACAACCTGGGTGAAATGATTAGTTTCTAGTTTTTAGAATAGGTACTGGTGACCAGATTTGTAAAAAGAACTGAGTCTGATGACTACTTTCGTTTAGAATAACAATAATTGGTGACTAGTTTTCTTAAAAAAATTGGATGTGGTAACCAGATTATATTATAATACAGGAGCTAGTGACCTACTTTTGGTGAAAGAATTGTATATGGTGACTAGATCGTATTGAAACAAATCGAGCTGGTGACCAGATTCTTTTCGAAGAACTATAACTAGGAACTATTTTGTCTTAAAAGGACTAGATCTGGTGGCCAGTACCTATTCTAAAAACTAGAAACTAATCATTTCACCCAGGTCGTAAAAAGAACCGACTTATAATGGTGTTCACTATGAGAGACCTACGTATGTGCAATGTTTTATAGCAAAAGGTTCCCAAACGAAAAAGTCCCTAAATTAAAGTTTCTACTTGGTCACCACAATTAACCTGAATTGTTTGGTAGTCCACAAATGTGAACCTGATTTAGAAATCGATTCAGAAAACCACAATTTGTGGGAAATGATAACCTACCCAGGTATGAAAGTAAGACGAAAAGATCAAGTACACCTACACTCTGTGTTGCGAGACCAACGTTATAGGATCTAGGTCACTGTGCGACCCTAAATTGATCTTGACTGATATGAGATGAAATGCGAACGTACACATAAGAATATCATATTTTAATGTTCACTCCATAGTTATCTAGTCTAGTATTTTAAATAAGTTAATGAGATTCTGTTGTTTTTTATTTTGTTCGCTCTCATTCAAAATATTCGTTAATTATACAAAAAGAAAACAATATGCAACAGACATAAAAATACATCTGTTCTAATAAAAAAATTAATAATTTGCATAATACATATACTTAGATTATGTACATTAACAATAGAATTTAATAGATGAATAACGAAATGAAATCAGACTTTTGTTTCAGGTCCTGTGTTTATATGAACGAATGAATCGCGAAGTTTTGTCATTGATCGAGTTAATATTGAACCGTAGACTTTTGAATACCATTCATGAGAACGTCCCATCAAATCAACACGACTCAAATGTGTTACTTTGGATTTTCCACATCCTAAAAAAAAGAGTTTTGAAAAAATAAAGTATTTATTACATAACTAATGACAAAAAAGAAACTGACCATAAGATTGAATCAAATATCGTGAAGCTAATGTAACTGCACGAACTAAGAAAACAAAGAACAAAAATTAAAATCCAATTTTTTTTTTCTGTCTAATATTAAAATATACCAAGTTTAGGTGGACAATGTGCTTTTGGATGTTCAATAGATGTACAAACGAGAACACAAGCTTCTCGTCGTTGATTATTTTGTGTTGAAACAAATGATGTAATAGCACTTGATGAAGTCGATAATGATGAACCACTAGGCAGAGTTGTTGATAATATATTATTTTGATAATTACCATTTGTATTTAATTGAATATTTGTTCTCCAGCTACGTACTTCACAAAAGTATCGAGATGCTAGAGGAGCCTACAAAAGATTTTATGAAAGATGGTTTGTTTTTTTTTATATTAGGATTAGTTACCATTGAATTGATAGTATATTGATAAACATGTGTATTACGATTTAATTTTTCAATAATGCTTCCAGATCGAAAGTCTAGAATAATAAACTATTTCAATATTCATTGAAATTAAAATATGAAGTATTATAGAACTAATGTTATTATCTACTGGGATGTCTTAGAAACTTCACATATGATCTATAAATCAAATGAAGTCTTACACGAATAACGAATGACTACTCAATTATGTTTTAAAAATTTTTTTTTTAAGAATTTTATTCGTTCTCTTTCTTTTGTTTGGGTCTATTCTCTTTATTTCTATATTACTATTCCGTCAACAGGAAATTCTGCATAAATATTTTTTGTTATAATTTATAAGTTTGATATTATTTATCTAATTAGTCTGATCATAACTTTACTGAACATATTTTGAGGAAGTTCTAATAACAGATCAAGATACGTTGAATTAAGCTCATTAGTAGGTCAATACTTAAGTGTTTTACCAGAAAATATACTCAAATTTCGGACACTGTTCATGATAAAGAGTTATTAACAGTCTCATAAAATTTTTCTTAGGAACAAGACATTGCCGAAAAATTCAAGACAAGAATTTCGAGCTGAACTTTAACCTATTGGCAGGCTTGAACGAAAATTGAATATGTTTTTCTCGATTATTATGTTCTCGTACGATGAATCGCTGCCTTTTAAGAAATTGAATACCTTGAGAAAGACATACTTGTTTTCGGTTGAAGGTTTGGAGACAATCTATTGCCTATCAAACATGCGTATAGGTCAAATTTCAAGTCGAAATTCTCCTTTTTGGATTTTTTCCGAAATGTCTTGCTTCTAGGAAAAATTTCATTAAATTGACCTGATATTTTTAAACTTTGATTTCATTGTCAATTATTTTGTTGTTCTTTATTTACTTTCTATGCACACGATTGTAACTATTTTATTTATAATCTTTTATTGCTTTCGATGTACTTGATCTTCTTTGTTAACTTTGTATGATGAGCGCTTTTCTCTGTTATCTTATCATGGAGCAGCCATAGAATGCAATATAATTAAAATATATAATAAAAAAACAAAACTCTCGATACAAACCATCATCCCATAAATGTCTTTCATTCAACAGTCGATTAAGAATTTCAATAGGTGGTGCTTCAATTTCAATTGAACATTTCCATAAACTAAGTGGATGTCCATCATCTAATTTCTTACATGCTAATTCTATATCATTATTTTTTCCAAAAGATGTCCATCCTTTTAATTTTGTATAACATGATTCACGCATGACTTCAATGATACAACGATCAATAAAATTTTGATATGATGCATTCGTTTTTGTTTTTATTAATTTTAAATTATTATTAATATTATTATTATTATTATTGACATTTAAAAAAATATTTTCACCTGATGATGATGATAACGAACCAATAGAATCTGATACTGATATTGTACGTATTTCTTTGGCATGTTGTTGTACTGTACGTTTATTTAATAAATACTGACGAGATTTATTTACACTTGGACTTGTTATTGTTGTATCTATAATACGACGTGATAGTTCTTCAAGTGTACATGGTTCACCGATTTCAATATAAGAAAAATGACATGCTTGATGTAATTCATTAGGAACAATAAATAATAAACGAACATGATCAATCATAAATGCAAGTATATCCATTGCTTTACGTTGTTCTTGAATTTCTCTTAAATCAGGCATACCATTTGATGAAATTTTATTATAATTATGAAATGAAAATAATGTTGGAGCAAAACATGTTGCAAGATTTATTGAACTCATTTGATTTGTTTTTAAATGTTTTGAAACATCATTTAAAAATGATAAAAGTAAATGTAAAACAAGACGATTTTCATCAGGTAATAAAAGAATAGCATATTGTAAAGCAAGTAAACGGCGTTCATTATTTATCTTTGTAAAAGTTGTATCATCAGATGAGAAATGATCATTTATATGAAGAAATAATGGAGATAATTTTGTTGTAAATAAACATTCAGGTAATAAACGAAAATATTGTTTTAATACATCGGATACATCATATGGACTAAAATCATCAAATTTATGAAATTCAAAGTCAGATTCAATTAAATCATGAAGACGTTTTATACGATGAGATACACCACTAAATGAAAATAAAACAATAGATTCATTACCAAATGAAACTGAATTATAATTGTTTGATTGAATGTCTGCCTTATGATGGTAATTTAGTTGCAAACTTAAATTAATCAGTTTTATTCTGAAAGTTATCTAGGAATTGGCTAGAACTCATAAAGAACTATTCAAAAGCGTCTTGAAGCTTGCAGCATTGAGAAGGGAAGATAACTCGAAGACTTTTGCTGTAATTGACAGAATTTATGGAGATCGAGCATCTTTTTGAGAATTGATAAAATAAAAAAAATTTACGAGGCTTTGTTAAGATTAAAAAGGGTTAGTGTCCCATTCGAGAAATTCATCGAAGTACTTTATGTTTTCGAATATCATGTACTAATAACCTATGACACGAACGTTTTGACACAAATTTTTCCGATCACTAAACGACAACTGGTTCGAACTAAAATGAAAATTTTTCGCTATTTTCGAATATATGTTTAGATTTTCTTTCTAGAGTTAGGTTGAACAATAATTAATAAATTTTGTGTAATAGTCTAAACCTCTACCTGTATCAAGCAAAATAGTGGTTCTTGTAGAGTCCTTAGTTTGTGTCTTGAAACAGCTTCAAATGAACATTATTTG